GTGAACCACGTATATGGTACAAAAGCAAATACATGAAAAATCGAAAACATAGTGAAAAATTCTTGCTATGATGTGCTGTGTTTATTTTTTCTTCGGATAAATTAAGTCAAGTATAAACATGGCTGCAATATAATTCACAATTAGTGCTTGATTTTTTTTAAACATATACGATTTAAAAACAACAAAAACAGATTGTTTTATTTCAACCCGGCCCACAGTGTATCATTTCCATATTCCAGAAAAGATTAATTATATTATTTTATGTCGCCAAATTTCAAACCAACGTCAAGAATGTTTTTAGAAATGCCTGATAAAGACGAAACAATAACAACTAAAAAATTTAAATCAAAGTGTATGGCGGAACGGGGTTTGATTTGGAAAATTACTGAGCGCAATAATATTTAAACTTGTATATTTGAAACTGAATCTCAATGTTTAATTTGTCGGTGTTATGTGATTTATGCAACAATTGCTAAAATATCATTTTGGTCTTATTTTTTTAGGTATGATGTTTTTAATGAATATACATTTTTGGGAATTTAGTAAACTAGGACTGAGTATTTCATGTTAAAGTAAAACGATGTTGACTTAGACTTATTTTTAGCAAATTATTATTTTTATTAGACCCGAAAACTCGTTATCCGCCACTATTCGATAAAGTTTGTATCTCAGTTTATTTGCCACTCCTCCTAGATTTTAAACAACACAATTTTAGCTGCTGGAAAGTGCAGGTTTTGATGAAATTTTCTTTTTTCTGGCCTACTGGGAATTTCAATTTCTACGAGTAATTCATTTGCATTTTATCTCGGCCGAGACAAATTCTTGTATTTTTGCTTTGAATAGAGAATGCCTGATTCATTACATTTCCAATGGTATCCCATTTTTGTAAATAGAGCAAGAAATATTGAACTTATAACGGAATTTTGTTGACCCAACTTGACTTTTTTATCAATATTTTCTACGCCCATAATTAAAAAAATATATATTTATTTTTAAGTCCATTTCTGTCAGTTTATAATTCCTTGTTATAGGGAAATTCTAAATATTAATTTTGGGCATTTTAGCCTTTGTAGTTAGTTAAATATTTCAGTTTTTGCATTTTTAAAAATTGCAGTTATATAATAGGGTGGCGTGACAGTAACTATAAATTACCAATTTTTTTGTAAAAAGCTTCGCCTATCTTATTAACGTACCTTGTGCAAAATTTCATTAATCTATCTTCAATAGTTTTCGAATTACAGAATTAAAAGCAGCTAGATGGGTCAAATCTTACACTGTGCGGCCTTGAGCTCAAAAAAATCAATATTATAATCAATTGAATTTATTTTAATAATTTTGCACAAGGTTGTTGCATCATTTCGTACGAAAAGTTTCAAAAAGTAGTGGAAAATTGTTGCTATAATGTGGTGTTTTTATTTTTTCTTCGGATAAATTAAGTCAAGTATAAACATGGCTGCAAGTCTTTCCCTATTGAAAGCCAATGGAATGAAAGTCACCACAACACAAAATATCTGTCATTTCATCGTATTATCGAATAGGTGGTGTACATTGATATTCGGTCTTTCTATTTTGGACTTTGAAGAATCAACACAATGCAGGATTTATGTGGAAATCAACAGCTTTTTGGTGGTGCTTTGGTATTATTGCCAGGTGACTTTCGACAAACATTGCCCGTGATTCCACGATCAACACCGGCAGATGAGATCAATGCATGCTTGAAGTCTTCCCCTCTGTAGCGATATGTGCAAAAATTGACATTACACATGAACATGCGTGTTCAGTTGCACAATAATCGATTTGAAGATCGGTTCTCGAAGCAATTGTTAGAGATCGGAAATGGCAAAGTTCGAATCGATAATACAAATGGCTTGATTACTTTGCCGAAGAATTTTTGTACAATTCTCCAATTAAAGAAAAATTGATTGAATGCGTGTTTCCAAATATTGCTCAAAATTACCTGTATTGAGATTGGTTGAGAGAACGCGCAATACTGGCACCAAAAATGTGCATGTCAATTCAATCAATTATCAAATTCAAGAAAAATTGCTATATGAAGTGACAACATATAAATCTGTTGACAGCGCAATGAATCAAGATGACGCAGTGAATTATCCAGTTGAATTTTTGAATTCAATGGAACCGCCTGGTATGCCACCACATTGTTTGAATTTAAAGATCGGCTCATCAATTATTTTACTACGGAATTTAAATGCTCCAAAACTGTGTAATGGCACAAGACTGGCAGTAAAAAAATTGATGGCGAATTCAGTTGAAGCAACAATACTGACTGGCAAAGCGAAAGGTGAAATTGTTCTCATACCACGTATTCCACTGATAAAAACAGACATGACGTTTGAATTCAAGCGTTTGCAATTCCCAGTGCGTCTAGCATTTGCCATGTCCGTCAACAAGGCGCCAGGACAAACTCTTCAAGTATGCGGATTGAATTTGGAGGAGCCGTGCTTTTCGCACGGACAGCTATACGTGGCATGTTCAAGAGTTGGCATTCCAAATTTTTTATTTATTCATACCCAAGATGGAAAAACAAAAAATGTTGTATATCCAAATGTGTTGGATTAAGATTAAAAATAAAGAATCAAACATTTTGAAATAAAACAAATGATAAATATTAATATAGAAAAATTCCAGGATTTTTCATCAATTTTTCAATATTTGGTGTAGAGAAGCACACCGGGGTACCGCTAGTTGTTGAATAAAATAGACTCCCTGAGGAAGACGCGAAGCGTCGAAACGCGTAGGAGGGAAGGAAGAAAATCTATTTGCGTTTCTTATTTTCATCGGCCGAAGTAGCTCCATAATAAATATAATTAAATTATTTTCTTCTTACTTTTTTACAGTACAGGTTAACGACGTCTAGGGATGTTGCGATACTACTGATATAATCTTGGTATCGATACTTTTGTTTAGATACTGGGTAAATCGGTATTCGATACTAGGGTGACGATAATATTGATACCTATATGTGTATTTTCTTTCGATACCGCTTAATGTATCATAATAACATCAATATCAGTATCATCTTCATACAAGCCATATCGTTCGTAGAATTCTATTTTAGTATGTTTCCTGATTAGGGAATACATGTTATTGTTCGCGCGATAATTTATTTCCTATGTCCATTTGATACTAGTATCGATACTTTTATGGCATCGTAATGTATTCAAACCATATAAACACAGTACAGCGTAACGACATTGATTTGTTTTTATTTCTGTTTTTCTGCCTTTAAGGCCAGTATTCATCTCTCAAGAAAAGCAAAAACCCCATATAAAATGAAGTACAAGAAATTGCTAAGAAATTTTCTTGAGTAAAATTTCCTGAAGGCAGTACGCAGTTCTTAAGAAACTTGCTACGATTTCTACTACAGAACACAAGGTAACCCATGTTTGCAACAGAAATATATGCCCGTTCCATTATTTCTTGAGGAAAGAGTGAGCAACACGCTGTGAAGTATCAAATGCCAAAATTCCTTGGACACTCACACGAAACTTTTTTCTTGACCATATTCTTGAGAGCTGCATACAGGCCTTTACGCCGAAAAGTAAATTATATCATCACATTACCAGGTGCAACTCCTATTTGAAAAATCTGAAATTTTCGTGAATAGAACGAATTTAAAGAAAGATTTACTGATTTTCTGATGAAATCGAGCCATTTTTACCTCGTTTTTGTTAGCTTGGGATGTAACTATGTAATAATGATGCGCCTAAAAGATGCAGCGATTTCCATTGTCAAATTACGTAGCGAGTTGTTAGTTTTTAAACTATAATTTTATTTATACGTTGTTGATTACACACTGCAGTTGTTAAAGATTTCATATTAATTTATCATTAACTTATTATGTCAAAAATTTTGTGTATCAAAAGGATAAAATATCGATATTTTATTTCCGACACCAATACCAATATTTATAAGGATACTTAGCATCTAATACATCATACGATACTAACGACATCCAACGTTGTGTAAAAACCTTAAAAAAATTCTAAAGTATTTTGTTTGTGTAAAGTAATATTACACACACAAAACAAATGGGGGAAAATTACCGAACACCGAGTTATCGAGTACCAAGCACGGTGGCAAGACCCCTATTACAAATTTTTATGCTCAGTATTGAAAATTCAGTGCAAATCAGTACAAATTTTGGAAAATCAGGACATTAGCGTAGTGATTGAAGAAATGAACAAAATCAGTACAACAATTGAAACATCAGTACTGTATTGATAAAATCAGTACATCCGGCAACCGTAAATTACACACCACCTTCGTTAAAGAATGGTGGAATAGGGGGTCTTCGACTCGATAATTTGGCCACTCTCCAGCATAACGGAACCTCCGTTAACCAATGTATTCTACCATCGTTATGAATTCGAAATGCAGCCCATTCTGAAAAAAAAAAATTTCTTTTCCACATTTGGCTTCACTACATTTGTTTCTCGTTTTCCACATTTCAAAGTAAAGTGATTTGTAAACACTTATAAAATATTTGCTTTTTAAATTTAAACAAAATTTGTTTGTTATTGCAAGTTTATTTCAAAAACTCCTTTAGAAATGCTTATTAGATTAGATTTCAACTATTTAAAACAGTGCCTATTCAATTTACAAATAGGAAGAGGACATAAAAGCAAAGCCATCTGATCTGATACTTTTTGCAAATATGAGTACTGGCATCGATTCTTCTTGAGAGGATTCTATATGTGTACTACATCGTATTGATACATTTCTAAAAAGTTCACTCTCTATTGGAGGGATGCCGTTATAAAATATATTTATACACTCATTCTGTTGCAGAAATTTTCATTTGATAACTAAAGCACATGTCTACTTTAAAAGAATTCGTTGAGTTCTATGCTCGTACACACATACTCGACACAAAAACGTTCTGCTTGTGTTGGCAGCTCTGCCAACGCTGTTCATCACTGGTTTAAGCCCAACATTCTGCATACTCCAACTGGGATGTATTATTTAAATATACTTACAGTGATTTGAAATTTCCAGTTCCTGTCCGGTTGTTGCATATTCAATGAATGGAATATCCAGGTAATCGTAACTATCCGTTAAGTTAGATTTTGGGTTGTCTGGCGGGATACTTCTATAGTACAACTGATCTGAAGAATTAACATATTTTTCGTTACCCATCTTCGCATGCGACTTTTCTTCCGAACTTCCAGCGGATAATCTCAAGTGACCTGCCTGCGCCATGGGTACTGGAATTTGTAAGCTTGCTGAGAGAACGCCAAACTTGTCTAATATATTTGGTGAAGACTGCCGTCGATCAATGGGTTCAGAATTTTGAGAATTGGCTTTACGTTCGTCATGACAAATTTTTTGGGTTGTAGAAGGACGATTATTATGCGTATTCGAATAGCTAAAATGAAGCAACAGTGACTAAATTTTACTTCCGTAATTCGATGCATTTACTTACCGCTTCATTTCATTCGAACCATTCGTGGTCGCATCCGGTGCACGCGACGCATCGTTATCATGCATGACGGACTCCCGCGTGTACAGCCGCTTTGCTGATGTTTTTGATTGCACGGAACTTACGCCAACACCAACACAGCTGGGAATATTAGATGCTGACGTACTTTGGATACGCGTATTGGAAGTAGGTGAAACTATGAGTTCAGGACTACTCAGCGAGGAGCAAGAGTTGGCAATATCATCCCTGAATGCAGTTAAAGAAATACAAGTTACAATTCCGACAGGTTTTGTGGAAAGTAAGTATGTAAATACAGCTAAATCGGGTTTTATAACTTTTTTATTTGATGTCCGCATTTTATAAATGACATACCGTTATAAAGGTAGTAAAAAAGGCTGTATGCCTCTCAAGAAAGAATTATCTTATTCTGTCAAACTAAAAAGTTATAATTATTTTTTTATTAAAACTTAACACGTTATAAATGATAATAGTTTATAAATGGTAGAAATTATAGCTTGGTATTTTGGAGACCACATCTCCTTATCAGACTTCTTCACTGGCATTCGATACACCGACCCCAGCTTCCAAAGCCAGTGGTCTACACACTGTGCCAAGTTTGCCTTATAAATTGTTGTTGCTTTTTCCACTTTTTCCCATATGCCAACCCACCAAAAGAGATGTAATCTCCGAAATAGCAGCTATAACTTCCACAATTTATAAACTATTGTCGTTTTGCCGAAATAATTTTCCAATAAAAACGTCCTCAAGCTCAATACAAATTTTTTAATACGAAAAAAACCAAACTTTTATAAAAACGCCACCCTGTAGTCAATAGTAAGAAGATCAAAAATACACTCCCATTATGAAGAGCGCCTTGACTATATGTATATTTGACTAGCTTAATAGCGGAGGACGATGCAGCGATTTAAAAGTTTTTACGGGGTGCCCAAAATTATTGATCAAAATGGCTGGTAACAAATTAAACTTTTATTCGGCTAATACATTGTGATATGGTCGACGGTAATTACCAGGGAACGGATTTTATGGAAATTGCCTTTTTTCTGCTAAAGGGATAGAGTATATTCGATTAAGAATGTCCACGATATAGCTTTCCCTGATTCCATACATATGTTACCGGTCAAACGCGATCTTACGGCTAAACTAGTTTTGCCTAGGCCAAACTAGTTCTACCAACATGTGATAGGATATACCAGTTTAGCTTAGGATAAACTGGTCTTTCCTAAGCCAGTTTGGACAACCGGTTAACTCTAGTCTGAACTAGCTGATCCTGATATTAATGTACTTTACAGTTTAAACTAGTGTGGCCTATGTTGATTCAGAGTGTCCAGATTTGGCGATTTGGCACCAATTTGGCACCAATTTGGCGTTTTTTGGATATTTGCGCGTAAAAAATTAGGAAATCGCCATTGGCGAATTTTGACGATTTTTTCCTTCAAATAAATTTTTTCCAATTGTAAAAATATACAAAACTTAGTTTTCCGCGATAATTTTACAGAAGCGGCTAATGAATTGCGTTTATTATGGACTTAACTTAAGAAGCATGTTAAAAGACTGTCAAAAGCTTTTAATCACCCTAATCGAAGAACTTTTGAAACGATTACCTAGTCAATTAAATACTTTTAAAAGAGCTTTGATTTTGTCACCAGAAAAGTGAATCACAAGAGGGCGAGCTTCAGGGACCTGCCAATTCACAATTTGACTTTGAAGGAAAGAAAAGCAGCGGAAACTGATTATTTAAATTTTTTAACTTTCCCATGGAATAACTTTTTTCAGAACCATTCCATCCGACTGTGCAGAATTTTGGATAATTGCTTACGGAGTGAAAACCGCAACAGGCAATAAAATGTTTGGAAATATAAGTAAAGTAGCCTTCATATTATTATTCTTGCCGCACTCATATGCTTTTGTTGAGCGCTTTTTTCCGTAATGAATTCAATAAAAAGTATGATTCGAAATAGGATGAGGTTGGAAAGCCTCAATTCAATAGTTCGAATAAAGTGTTATATGAAGGCTAATAGTTTCTGCTGCAAACCGTTTCCAATATCAAGCAGTATGCTATCAAGGTTGAATAGCTCAATATATGACAGCAACAGAAATGTAAATCATTCAGACACTAAAGGTGATTTTGAAGAAATTGTTGAATTTGCTGATCTCGCCTTATTATAGGTTTCTATTTTATTTTTAGCACCAAGCTCCTAAAAGCGGATTGTGCGATTAATCAATTAATATGAGTTATAACAAATTTAATAATTACGCAGTCCTATTGCAAAATGTGTTGAAACAAATATTTTTAAAAAGTATGCGTATGTTTAAAGATAATTGTTTGTACATCACTATTATACAAATACGTGATTTGTGTTATTTATTATTACCCTCTGAAGGTATTATATTCGTTATTGATTTTAAAAACTATATTATAACAAGATCTCATTTTTAAAATAAAAGATTTGCTAAATCGATTTCATGAATTTTATTTAAAAAAAAGATTGGTGATTTTTGGCGATTTTTTTTCAGAAACTGCGCTTTTTTCTAAACAATCTTCACACCCTGATTGTGGGTGCAGAGATGAGCTGTGTTAAATATGCCTTACCTCGGGTGAGGCCAATAATTGATTAAGGGTCGTAAGGAAAATCCTTTGCTTTGCATGCATTTGACAAGTAGTAGATCGTACATATATATTTTCTGCCCCTTTTATGGGTAGGAAATCTAATGATGCACTTCAACATATGTTATTTTAGACATTATCCAGTAAAAACATGTATGTAACAGTTTTACTAGAATTTTTACTGGCTGGCGGTTTCTTACAAAACTTGCAAAAAAATAGCAAAGTAGGTGAAATTGAGAGAGTGAAAATGACAGCTAAA